AGGAAGGATCTCAGAATACAATAATAAAAGAGAGAAACAAATTACATTAGCCATGAGCAGGCACCATTCAGAGGGTCTGTCCCTGTATGCTGTAGTGTTGAGTTTGGCCAATACCAGTTGTAAGAGGAAAACATGTAACTACCCTATCTTCTTCAGGGGCAGACAGCATCCAGGGGTCATTTTAAAAGACCACATAACCAGCTATAGCCAACATCAGTAATAAACACGTTTCTGTTACCACAGCATTTTATTTTCTTAACAGTTCTGTTGTGTAGCTTCCGTCGGAAATCTCTCATTGTCATCATCTTCTCCAGAGAGCCCACACACAGAGTGAGTGCTGAATACCATCCTCATCTCCAATCTGGTAGCTATTGGCAAGTGACTGTGTTCGTAACCATGGTCAGATTTGGCTGCTGGACCCTGTACCTGTTTACATCTTAATAACATTACTTCCTAGTTTAGAGGAAATAATCTATTTCCATCTAGCCAAGACATTACCTTTTTTCACCATATACTTTCAGCATATTGTTTCTAAATCTAAGGAGGAGGTGTTACATACATGTTTTCTATAGCAATTTAAGTTTTCCATCTCTCTGTGCCAGTCAGGTGACTAACACAAGGCCTGCAGAGTAGTTTCATGCCCTGCACAATAATTTGTAGGGATCCTAGCAACAGCTGCATTCGGTAAAAGGTGTCCATTATAGTCAGTGACCTAATGTTTATCACACTCAGTAAGCGACACTCACGGCTACTTCATTTAGGTGGTTTATGATGCTGAACTACTGAACCACACAGCAGGCCTTATTCCCAACTCAGCAGTGCTACCACTTGCGTTGTAAAGGCTATTTCACTGCACAGGCTGCTGTGTACATGCAAAATGCTCTCAATAAAAAAAAAACAACACCACCAAAGCCCAGAAACCTGCCTGTTTCTTCTTTAGAAAAACACAATTGCTCCTGCTTAAGCTCACACACTGTGATAATAGTCAGTGGAAGGAGCTCTGCGAATCCCCTGCATTTGAGCTATGACTATAATCCATAAAACAAGAAGGTGGAGAAAAAAACTGTGCCTTTAGGTCACAGGCACCGCTTTGAAGAGACACAGAAGGCTGAATGGGGTCTGCAGGCAAGGCAGCATGGCATTGGTATGGGAAACAGACCTAAATCCACATGAGAGTAAGGGTTCCTCCTAAAGGATGACCCCTCTCAGATACATAGGATCCCCATGGCATGAATTTCAGTGCTGCAGTTTGTTCTCAGAAGATGAGTCAGAGAAGTCAAAGCAGAGATTCAAGTATCCCATGATGAAGCCTGCCTAGGTTAGAAGGTTGCTGTATTTTGAGCAGCATGGACCAATTGTGTTTGTGTGTCAAGAGGCATTCTGAGCTTGTGTCTCAATGTCTGAAGGGAAAGACTTGAGACTGGCATTCTTACAGTTACTTATCATCTGCTAGTGGCATCTCAAGGCTTCAGCTGTCTAGTCCCTAATCAAGTCGTAGGTCTCAACCACGTACTTATAAATTCAGAATGCTGCACTGCAGCAAGCGACAGTGGCAGAAATTCCCATCTATTGTCCCCTAATCAACTCCCAGCACAGTGATCAATGTCTTTTAAATTCAGATGATCTTAACTACTTCGTATCTAGAAAAAACACTACAAGAAATGTGCAGTACACCATGCAGGACAATTTAGGGGCACTGACCTATCCAGTAGCTGCAGCTCCCCAGTTACAGTAGGGATAGACACTTTTATAGCGCCATCACCATCTCTACCATAGTCTTTATCACTGACTACAATATCAGTGCAAGAATTAGCGTAAATTAAGTTAAGATCTGGTTGCAAATACTCTTTCATCACCTTTCACCTGGAGTAAATAATTTTTGCCTACAGGAGAGCTTGTGGGGCACTGAGTATGCACCCAGGAGTCAGCAAGGTGCTGGCACAAGGACACAGTTATTCATACAGTGTTGTTCCCACCCATTTCCCATTTTACTGAGCTTTAGACAGCATTTGAGGACACACCAGTGAGGACACTGGCTAGGAAATGGGTGAAGGACTGAGACTTGTCCATAGCTCATCTTCCCTTTCCCTACACATCATGCAGCAGGAAAAACAGTCCCAAGCCCTGTGCTAAGGCACTGTGATATTGGCAACTTTCTGCTGCACCGCAGTGTATGTCTGCTTTCATAAAGTAAATGATATTATAATATTTCTTATCATCCAGCCAGAAAAAGCCCTAATGTGATCCCAGAGAAAGCATTTCCAATGCAAGATACTGTAACCCCTTGCAGAAAAATGGCATGTACTTTGTCAGATCATTTTTTTAATCTGGCTCACCAAGCAAAGCTCGCTGGCAGTAAGTGAATAACTTGCATTTCAGTACATGCTATTACTGCTATTGCTGGGAACCCTGAGAAAGACAGGGAGAGGGGGTACACAGGAAAGGACTGCTCATAAATCTACTCCTGTAGGAAAGTGAGAGTGGGGTTAGAACCAAACAGCAGGATCCCCACAATGGGCAGAAGGGGTGGGGAGCAAAGCTGCTGTGCCTGGACATGGTATGACTTCAGCATCCCTGCAGGATACCCTCTGACAGGCAGGCCAGTGTTACCAGCAGTGACCAGTGTCCTCAAGCATTCCCCTTGCTGCACACTGGCTTCAGCTGCTGCCACTGGAGTGAGTCAAATCCAGAGGATTTAAAGAGAAGATGAACCCTGTGGGTCACATCCAGTAATTGTGAAGCCAAGTCACTCAGCCTGGCTGGCCAAAACCAACATTTGCTGCAGAGTCAAGATAAACATTCCAGCTTGAGGATTTCCTTGACAGTACATCACTCACTGTACCTCTACAGCACAGCAGCAGGCATAACAGAGGCATTTCATAAGCAAGTAAGTGAAAAATGACACAGCAGTTCTAGCTGTATTGCCCCCCATCTCCTACGCCTGCTCTGGGTGGAAATCAATGCAGTTGCATTCATGTTAATAGAGGGCAGAACTGGCAAAACCACCCTGCTGAAGGCGATTTGAGACAATGTTGTTGGAAAGTTCATGCTTATTTCTTTATTTAGGGAAGGAATCAGTTGATTGTCATGTTTCATTTAGTTTTGTTCCAAGTTACAAAATTAATATGAAGTTAATACAAAAGCAGGTGACACGAGGGCTATTATTCAATATCATTCACTCTGCTGCAGTTCATTTCCCTGGTGGCAGAAACCTGCACCCAGACAACAGGTTTTGAAGGCATTTATGAAGGCACAAGTTTTCTCCAGTGCCAACACTTCAAAAAGAATGAGCATTTTCAGTTGTAGGACATACGTTCTAGGTCATCGTTACCTTAACGTCAGCAACTTCCTTTCTCTCTGATTTAAAAGAATCTTTACAGTTATTGTTGATTTGTTTGGGAAATCCATCAAAGCTGACAGAAACGTTTGAAGCACTGAATTCACAGAAGGGGTGATTTATAGAACACTTATGAAAATGTCAAAAACAAACATTTGGCAGTCTCTAGTACAGTAAACCAGATCCCTGATTTTTAAGCACTACTTCAGGTATTGTAGGCAAATGATACAAACTTCTGATGGGAACAGTTTCACATGTCTCACTCCAGCCATACTGCTAGTAATAATAGGATTTTTTTTTCCCTATTCAAGACTACACAGTAAGTTCTATTAAATGTGAGCAAGTGGTTAAAGTTCAGCTGCACCTTAGTGTTCCAGGAAAGCTCTCAAGGACTGCAAGGGCTGTTTGCAGCCATGGTGAGCAGCTCTGCCTGGCCATGGGCTGTAGGACTGAGTCCTTCCTAGAACATCACTTATAGTACCGGTTCAAGCAGGCACCAAAACATATCACAGCTTTAGAAAACTGAATCAAACCAGACAGTGAAACAGCAGAGATAGGACACTCACTTCACTGCAATATTTAGTGTCATGCAATACATCTAGGCATGGTTTAGGTGATGGGTCTGTACTGTGGCCAGAAAGTTGCAAGCAGGTGCCTTTTCAGGAAACTCAAGGATGTTTATACTTAGCCTGAATCAGAACATGCATCATGTCTGAAGCGACCAGCAGCTGTTCCTTAAAGACTCAGCTGTATCACACCAGAGGAAAAATGCCTTCCAGTTGACGGACTTCTAAAGAACAGCTCGGGATAAGCAAGCAGGTCTGTGGAACAGACTGTTTCAGTGGTGGGAAGGGAGATGCTTTTTCAGAGCCTGTCTGTAAGAGATGACAATTACAGGAGGCTCATCCTGGGCAGAGCTGAAAACTTTTATGCTGTAACACAGCTTCAGCTCTCAGGAGACCCAAGGATGTGCTTCCCAGATAGCCCCTCTCTAGATTAGGTTCCCACTCAGTCAAGGGGGAATCACCTAATCCAGGTAGCTTTTCAGCTCTTTCTAGACAGAGTTCTAAACTAGAACAGGGAAGCACCATGAGCTAGGATAAGGAACAAAATGTCTCTCTCCACAGCCCACCCCACCCTACCGATCTGTCAGTTGTTTAAAAAGTAAAAAAGTGGGAAAATAAGAGTGTGTGTGAGAGATACCAGTTTCTTTCTCCTGCTGCCCTTCCTCGCAGTGCACAGGCAGGGGCCTCAGCACCCCCTGCTCACAGTGCTGCTGCCATGCCAACAGCAGCAGCAGGGCTCACCAGTGAGCAGCAACAGAGCTAGGGCTATGACTCTACATCTGCTCCATGGAGATAGCCAAGGGATGTTGGATACCACCTAACCCCATGCCTGGAGTCCCACATTCCTGTGTCTCTCATCCCAGGCTGCCAGGACACTGAGTGTCAGTGTGTCCCACAGCTGGGAGCAGGGCCACATGCCCCTCATTGCAACAGCTTCTCTGAGGGACCCAACCGTAGTGCTTTCCTTTTGGTTTCTTGAATTTCATTAAAGGTGGCCATGGTGATTGGTGATTGAACAGAGCTACTGCTCCAAGCAAGTGCTCAAGAAAGGTAACGTTATGTCTTAACTGCCTAACTCTGTGTTTCTGTTTCCATAGCAAACATCTTGACGGTTATCATCCTTTCCCAGCTCGTGGCTCGCAGGCAGAAGTCCTCCTATAACTACCTTCTAGCTCTAGCTGCTGCTGACATCCTGGTTCTGTTCTTCATCGTCTTTGTTGACTTCCTCATGGAAGACTTCATCTTAAACAAACAGATGCCTCAGGTACTGGACAAAATAATTGAGGTCTTGGAGTTCTCTTCTATCCACACCTCCATTTGGATTACGGTTCCACTAACAATCGATAGGTATATTGCTGTGTGCCATCCGCTGAAATATCACACAGTATCCTACCCTGCTCGTACTCGAAAAGTCATTGTAAGTGTCTACATCACCTGCTTTTTGACCAGCATCCCCTACTACTGGTGGCCTAACATTTGGATTGAAGACTACATAAGCACATCAATGCATCATGTCCTCATCTGGATCCACTGCTTTACCGTTTACTTGGTGCCCTGCTCCATCTTCTTCATCCTGAATTCCATCATCGTGTACAAGCTGCGTCGAAAGAGCCATTTCCGACTGCGAGGGTACTCCACAGGGAAAACAACAGCCATTTTGTTTACTATAACTTCTATTTTTGCCATACTTTGGGCACCAAGAGTAATCATGATATTGTATCACCTCTACGTATCACCTATAAACAACAGCTGGGTGGTACATATTGTGTCAGACATCGCCAATATGCTCGCGCTGCTGAACACTGCAATTAATTTCTTCCTCTACTGTTTTATTAGCAAAAGATTTCGCACAATGGCAGCTGCCACGCTGAAAGCCTTCTTTAAGTGTCAGAAGCAACCTGTGCAATTCTATACAAACCATAACTTTTCCATAACAAGCAGCCCTTGGATTTCCCCAGCCAACTCGCACTGCATCAAAATGCTTGTTTACCAGTATGATAAGAATGGAAAGCCTATAAAAATATCACCATGAAAAGGGCAACAGTTTGAGTTTCTGGATGCAAGTTTTCAAGTGGTTACATCTTCAGGGTGTAATTTGCTGAAATGGCTGTTTTGACAAGTGGTCATTTGATTTCATTTCCCTGGGAGACCGATGGCAGATCAGACTGTTAAGAAGGGATCAGGAGCACTTGATTTTAGGAGCAAAAGTGAGAAGGCAAATGCCTCCATCTCTTACATAGCATTTTGAATATGCTTCAGAGTTCAAGTCTTAGTGTTCAGTTGCACTCAGATGCTTTGCATCCCAGCACCAGTGCAGTCTGAAGTCATTGGAGGGGGGAAGCCACAACAGTGTTTAATTACAACTTTTAAAACACAACAACCAAACCTGACTTGACCTTGCAGTTCACTATTGACAGAGCAAATGGATGCTTTAATGTACTGTGGAAGGTGCCATTTCTGGTGTGTGCACTTGCCAAAAAGTGATGCGTTGTTGCTGACACAAAATACTACCACAGTCTTGCTATCAAGACCTTGCTGCAGGAGGCAGCCTGCAAGACACAAACTGGGATATGCCCTTTTTGGCTCACCTGAACAAGGCTTGAGGACTGTTATAGTACCTGTTATAGCCTTGGCATGGAAAGCAATCCTGCAAGCTGCCAATAGTGATATGTTTTAATTTGTTATTTAAGAATGAGACCAAGATAGGAGAGCTCAAGGGAGGGAGGGAGGTTTCTAGAGCCAAGAACAAAAGCAACATCTTTTCCCAGCTATTTCAGTTATGGTGTGTACAGACTTTCAGGTGTGAGGCCAAGTCCTGCCTAATGCAGAGATCCCACTGAAGCTGTTCCTGCGAGGTTTGGAGTGATCACAGCCTTCAGGTTCCCTCTTAACCAATAAAGACTCTCTGTTATCCCTGTGTTCAGGCCTTTAGGCATTAACATATAAAAACCTGAGTCTAAGATTTTTCTCTTGACGGTTTATGTCCTCCTGTTGCAGATTTGCCATTTAATTGTTAAAAAAACAATTTATGAAATAAGTCTATTAAATATCCAACAGCAGTAAAAACATAGATCAGCTTGGACTAAGGAGTATTTACCTTATCTAAATTAGCTTAACTTCTCCCTTACACTCAATCCCAGTAATGCTGAGTGTAGAAATTGAGAAGAGTTTTACAGGAAGGCGGAAAATGCATTTCTTGTAATTTCTCTCCTTCTCAGACCACATACCACCTTTTTACTTCTATATTAGACACTTAATGCAGCCTTACTGAATGTGAGAGCAGACTTCCTTGCGTGGTGAACACAAGCACAATGTGGTCAGTGGACACAGCAGCTTCCCAGCAAATGAGAAGTAGCCTGGTGCTAGCTCTGCATTTGTGCCTGTGCCCATCTCCATTTCCATTTCCAGTGGGGCATCAGGGGCTAACATCAAGGTCCTCTGTGAAGGGATCCAGTCAATCCCACTTTGGTGGGATACGAGGGCTGAAAGCATCTCTCTAAACCCCATGGCTGGCTCAGTTTTGGTGCATTTCCCCTAAGAAACACCAAGTTGCAAGAGTCCTACTGAGGACAGCAGCTTGGTTCCCTTCTGCCACAAAGGTTGCATTTGCACACCTACTTATACTAGCATCCTGCAAGAGCAAAACCCACACCAGACCTGAGCATGCCTTCCCTAGAAGGGAACAGCAGCACAAGCCATGACGAGCAGGACCCTAGGCAAAGGCTGGCTTGTGAGTGGAGGGGCTTTCTCAGGACAGATCGAGGCTACTCAGGTCAGTCAGGAGCACAGAGACAGAATGCCCAGTGCCTTGGGGGGCACTACCCAACCCTCTCCTACCAGCAGGGCAGTCGGGGTGGCTGCTCAGCACTCCTCTGCGAGGTGCCGGAGCACCACAGGGACCTGCTCTGGTTAGAGCAAGGAGAAGGGGAGCTGAGAGCAAGAGGTGACCCTTTGCACCCTCACCCACCAAAGGGATGCTACCCACCTAAATCTCCCCAGATTGAAAGGAAAACGAGGAGCTTCCTCATCCTGTGTAGGCTGCTTGTCCCTGTGATCTCAGCAAAGCTTCACACTTACTTGCAATAATAAAGCATAAGAGGGATGCTCAGCCTTGCTGTGTTTGCCACGGCAAGGTTGAAATGATTGCTCCCTTTACCAGAGTTTTACAGAAATTCAGTTTTGGGGCCATGCCTTTTACCCTCCTCTCAGAAACCTCCCTCTGGTCTTTGTCATTTGATAGTAACCAAAGTTACCTTATGAAAAAGGTACTGTATGTTTCATTTTGGGAAAACACTGTATTTTTAACATTTTTATTCTAAATCTGTTATGAGGAATGCTTGTCTGAGTTACATGTGAATGAGTCTGAAGTGCAATATCTGTATAGATAAGTGGTTCATTTTGGAGAATGTATCTATTGAAAAAAAAATATTTATACAAGAAATTCACTATTTACTTAATATAATAGTAACCTTACAGAAAATAGTGAATGTTTAGGGCTTTTATTTATTGAAAAGATTCAATTAGGTGCATGGCATATGCTGCCAGTGATCTGTTAGTTTCTGTAACATAACGTTTATCCTGCAAACAAGCAGTGTCATCTGATTTTTCCTGTTCTGATGATGTATTTTTGTAAATTACCGTATCTGAAAACAAAACCTTGTGTGAATATTTTATTTCCCACTAAAAATAACCCATTAAATTCTAACTTCATTTGAAAAACCTCGCCATCCTTTCCCATATCGTTTTAGAAATGACAAGGTGCAATTTTCATGTGTGGTGTATTGGTCATTTCATTTCTGATAATTTAGGGTTTTAAGAGCTTACTTCCAAAGCCCCTTGTAGTCAATGGGAAGGTTGCTTGTGGGTTTTGTGGTTGGTTTTTCCAATCCCCATCAATTTATGAGGGCTTTGGATCAAGCTGTATCTTGCTAATGGACATTTGAAGCCTTCTTAGAGTCCAGTTTGGATAACAAAGCCTTGACTTTTTAGTCTGCCATATGGAAGCTGCTGTTGATAATACTTGCCTTATTTTTGGTTGTGTGAAGCGTCTTGCAATGACTGTTGCTAACTAGCCAATGTCTTGCTGTATTATTCATACCTCCTGATTTTCCAATAGTAAAAACCAAGCATATAGTGCCATTATTTATGGGAAAAGTATCCTGGAGACAAAACCATCTCTGTTGTAGAGATGGTCTTTTGTACTCTATTTAATTTATATTTCAAATATCTACAATTAGAAAAAATAAGCTGTGAATGGACAGTTTTACAATTACTTACAGGTATATGTCCTTGAAGACCACAGATAGGAACAAAATACTTTTTAGACAAGTTGCTGGTATATAAAATTATGGGACCTATCACCTATTCAAATTGTGAATATTGATATTTTCATAAGTAGACAATATATTGTGTTTGACAAACTTGTTTGTATTATAATAAATTATGAGATGGTGCATAACTTACCACTGTATTTGGAGCTATTGTTTGATTTATAGATTCTTATGACGTACTTTTGATTTATAGGTACTTATACTATAAGTAAGACCAGTCCTTGGCAACCATTACTCAGTAAAACATTACAGATTTGCATATTGTTACATATGTGAACATGATAAACGTATTATACCTGTTGCCAGAAATAGAAAGTGCAAGAAAGGAACTATGATCAGAAAATACAAAATTCTAGAGTGGATTCAGGACCTCATGGGACTGCCTGTGGAAGAAGCCCAATATTTATTCAGATGAGAAATACCGACACTATGCAGAATTCGGATCTCCATCAAATGTAGAACTTTGCGTGCGCAAGCTCCTGCTTCTCTGGAGACGTGACAGAAGAATATTTTAATTATTAAAACTAAGCAGAAAGTGGACTAGAGAAGGAACTGATTAGAAAAGTCCAGTGTCTTAGAGATCAAGAAATGTAAGGTTAAACATATGAGAGGAGAGGGTGATCCCGGTAATGCCCAACCCACTTGTCAAGTCTTGGCAACAGGTTTTAAAGGACAGCATCAAAGAGAGGCAAGTGGGGAAGGCACACTGCTGAAAGGGGCTCAAAGTGTCAGATTTGATGGAGCTTATCAGAGCTGTTCCTTATGGAGGGAGCCTGAGATCTGCCCGTCTCCATACTTTCATTAACAGCCGTGGCATGCAGAGTACTGATGAAGCTCCCGGGTTATTAAAAAAGGCACTGTATTTCCTTCAGTCCCCCGCTGGCAAGGTATTTCATGTAAGAGCCGGATGACCTTGCAGATTCGAGTGATAAAATGGGATGAATTCAATACTAATAAACAAGGCTCTCCAGTTGTCTGCCTGTAACAATACATTTGCTATAAACCCTCAGTAGTCAAAAACAACCAAGAACCCAGTTGTGCCAGCTGGGTTTGAATGGCCATGAGTCAAGCAGCTGAGAAAAATCCTAGAGTTTAATCACAGACATTTCTAAAGCTACAGCATAGAATTAATTACATTTTACAAGACTTCACAGGCCATATGCATTCATATGTATAAAGGGATAAACAGCAATAGAGAAGAGCTTGATATACAGAGCTAGAACAAGAATAAATTGTTGTGAACTTTCCTGAGGTAAATCTGCCCTGAGAGTTAGAAGACAGTCTCTAACTACCAAAGCAGGGAGTCTCAGCAAAAGCCTTTCCAGCAGCCAAGCTCTCCCCACTGGTTTTAAATGGAGTTTAGCGTGTTCATAGGCAGGATTGAGACAAAGCAGGCAGCAGGATAGACCTGGATTTAGTGTGAGGTGTCCCTGCCCACGGCAGGGGGGTTGGAACTAGATGATCTTAAGGTCCTTTCCGACCATAATTATTCTATAATTCTATGACTCTCGGAGCTGGTAGTCCCACACCCCTAACCTGCACGAGCCAGGCAGCTCAGCAGGTCCCCAACTCAGCTTGAAGGTCATCAGGGGTGTCCCCCAAGCCTGTTCACCCCACTGGGGCTGCTTCAAGGGAGATGGCCAGCATGAGAGCCATCAGCTATTCAAAGTGATTCCTGTGTGCAGGCACAATTAGCTCGGTAGCGGTCATGGAGGATGCTATGAGTGGGACAACTTGCAACTGACTTCTGCCTCAGCTGTTCAGTTCTCTAAAAACCTCTTTATAGCCACCAAGCAGAGCAGAATAAAAAGCAGCCTCACAGAGTCTTGAACTGTTAAATAGTAACTCTGCTATTAGCAGGCTGGGGCTGGATTAGGGAGACCTGCCTTTCTGACAGCATGCAATTAATTCCCAGGAGTTGCCAGACACAACAAGGGGGTTGAAAGGCTGCAGCCTTTTGTAATAAATAGGCTTCACAACTGAATTTACTATTACCTTGTTACAAGGGACCAAAGACACTAATATTTATTACAATTACAAAATCGTGTAAATAGAAATATTAAAAGCTCATGTGTTCCTGCCTTACTGACAGGCTAGAAACCTCGCTCCATCCATTTCTCTCCCTCAGCACCTGCTTTTAGCAGACTAAATGGACAAGATGAACTGCAGGCAAAAGTATGATATTGAATAGTACAGTCAGAAGATTAATTTGGTGTAACAGAGTGTACCAGAGATCTTCAGCTGCACCTTGCATTGGCTGGTGGTGTACAGCAGCACAACAAAACAGCTCCTGGCCTGAAGACTCTGCAGGGACATTTGGTATCCAGGCAGACAGCCTAGTGCTCCAGGAGGTCCGTCAGGTGCAGGTTAGGCTTGGAAACAGGTCATGAGGAAAGGCAATAAAATAACATGGAACAGATAGGCACCCTATGATGCTGTCCTCACCATGGAAAGGAAAGTGGTCTCAGGACAGGTCCTGCTACCAGAGCACAGCTCCTAATGGGGCAGTGACCGCAGGGTGCAGACACAGCACTGCAGGTGAACAATGGCCTTCATATCCCCAAACAAAAAGCAGCAAAGGGTTACTGTCACAGAATGGATCAGCTTTTGGTGCCTTAAAACATCTGTGACTCCTGCCCTTGCAGTGTCACAGCACAGCAAAGCATCCCAGCCATGGGAGAAGTGCCCTGTGTCCCCTTGCCATCCTTGCAGATTCAACTTGCAGGTGGGATTCTCTTCACACAATGGAGAT